AAAAGGTCACACGGTAATTTGGTCACAGTAATAAGTTCACATGGTAATTTGGTCACCGTAATAAGGTCACACGGTAATTTGGTCACAGTAAAAAAAATCACAGTAATACGGTCACATGGTAATTTGGTCACAGTAATAAGGTCACACGGTAATTAGGTCACAGTAAAAGGGTCACATGGTAATATGGTCACAGTAGTACGGTCACACGGTAATTTGGTCACAGTAATAAGGTCACATGGTAATTTGGTCACAGTAATATGGTCACACAGTGATCTGGTCAAGGCAAAACTAGTAAAATGAAATTACTGGTAACTGGTGTAGTGATATTTATTTAATAATACATAATATAGTGTTCTGCTTGCCCTCTGCCAGAGATGGATGGACCTTGTGGGGCCCCGGACGGTCGAACAGTATTTGGTATACCTGTCAATCTGCAGCTATATAGTTATTGCTGATATAACCCGCCACCGGTCTGCCTTTTAAGCTTGCAAGCCATACCACCGTTTAACTTTTGCCGACTCTCGCCATTCCAAATTACAGAATTCTCACTCACTGAATGCAGCCTGTGAAATCATCCAGTATTGACTTCAGCAATGAAGTTGAAGTAGGGTGAGATGCTTCGCACGTATCTCACGTATCTGAAGGGCGCCCATCTCACCCTACCCGACAGGCGTCGAAATTTACGAGCAACGGTGCTAATATATACGAACGGACGCCCACATGGCTATACGCCAACCAGCAGCAAATCTCATCGCGGATTGAAACAGCTTGGTAGCATGTTTCAAGATTGAAATGGCTAGGTAGGCAAATTGATCTAAAGACTAGTTCATTAAACTACAAATTTAGGTCACATAGGCCTAACCGTTTATTATTTCAGTCTCAAACGCCACTTGATCGATATGAGGACAGAAATACAATTCTGCGGAAATATGAATTCCACATTCAGTGGTAAATTCGAAAACGTATTCAAGATTACAGCCTGTGTGATAAAAACTTGCTTTTCAATTTGCGAATATCAAGTCTCAAATGTCTTGTCGGACTGTGTCGGAGGATTCATGACACCGCATCTGGACAGAGCAATTAGTCCAAAGAACTCCCATGGGACGAAGAGACGAACACAATGACTACTTAAGTTGTGACTTTGCCCGTCCTCCACCATTTATTGAATCTAGTTATCAACTACAAGCGGTTGATGTGAATAAGATGACCAACACCACTGAAAATGGGTAATTTTACTGTGACCAAATTACTATGTGACAGTATTACTGTGACCTAATTACCGTGTGACTTTTTTTACTGTGACCAAATTACCATGTGACCTTTTTACTGTGACCAAAATACCATGTGACCTTTTTACTGTGACAAAATTACCGTGTGACCGTTTTACTGTGACAGAATTACCGTGTGACCTTATAACTGTGACCAAATTACCATGTGACCGTATTACTGTGACTTTTACTGTGATCAGTTTCGGCTCACTATCAAAAAGTAACAAGCTTGAACTTAGAATTGCATGGCTTAAGCTTATACTTATATTAAGCATATGATCACTGGCAGGATTAGCGTGTAACGCTCCACAGAGTTTAAACCTTAGTTCGAAAAAGACCCCAGGTTCCCTTCGCAGAAACGAAAGTCGCTAGTGGCACCAATATTGGCGGCGGTCAGCTACAATGGCTCTGAAGAGGCGAATGTCGTTGGGAATATAACAGGGGAACCAATACCTCCGAGCGGTCTCGTTTACAACGCCGTTCCGTCGAGGCCTCATCGTACTTCGAGCATCGGAGACCTCAGACTGTGTCGAGAGAGCGCAACTTTGTGTCCCTATGGTCGATTCGGGGGAATTTGTTTTTTCTTTCCTCTTTTTCTACGATCAGGGACTTGGTGTCGTCGACGAAGTTGAAAACTTTAAAAGTTAGGAATGTCTCAACTTTGCTTTACACATTAGGAAATTTCTCCCGACGCGAGCACGCTGATAGTTAGTGTATTATTGGTCTTTTCCTTCTCCTCTTTTTCATTCCATTTTCCAATCTTGATCGGCGTGTTAAAAGTCCGATGATCTTGATTAAGTCATTTTCACTCATTAAGAAAGAATCAATGCAAAAAGGTTTGGCCAAGGAACAGCTGGGAGAAATCCACCTTTTATCCTTACTATAGATGTTTCCCTTTCCCATTTCGAATTTCTCAAATAGGGGACTTCGACGACGACGACAAAGAACGAAAAAGCTCAAGTCTATGAAAAGTGTGTATGTTTCAATGTCGCTAAGAGAAAAAGTATAATAAATTTTACTACAAGAACAGGGAGCTCCTTTCGTCTTATTGCGGCCAAATCTCCTTGTCGAGAGACAAATCTCAACGCATCACAGACACAACAGGCCACTTTACCGAGTACGACACCCAAATTTGCAGGAACTCAATTCTTCTACAAGCAAATTTTCCTGCTTTCGAAAGACACCCTTTCTAGGGAGCTACTCGCTCTGTCGCGCGTCTCAGAAAGGCAGACGCGGACGTCGTGGGGCGGGATTCTGGCTAAGAGGCATTCAGCCGTAAGCCCCAGAACAAAGGCAAAGCCCCATGGCAAAAAACCACCAAGCACCAACAAAGGGTTACAGCATTTTATGAATTCAATTTTTTTAGAATTACTAGTTTGTTTCAATTTTTTCTACCTCACCCGTCACTCCGTCAGTGAGTTCGTCACTCCGTCAATGAGTTCGCCACTCACGTCAGTGATTCCGTCATATTTACATTTCTACTATCACTCCCTTCAATAAACCAGTTAGCCAAACCGGCGTTTATTTTCCAATAACTGTAGTTTGTCACGTGACAATAAGGCGTATGAATACATCGAAAACGAAAACAAGGATTGACCCAAGTTTTTTTACCTAGAGCCAAATCTAATTTTACAATTTATTTAAATTTACAATTGTTGTTAATATTTCAATGGAATAATAAATATTTAATAATTTTATCATCCAAATAAGACTGTTGATTTATAGAACTATATTGTTAGGGGCGGGTCGGTGAACTTGATTGACAGATATCGGTGCAACAACAGTTTCGGGTATTTTTACAATTAAAAAATAGAATTTTTTAGCGTATTTTATCACAAAAGATAAACCAATGTAAATATAAGGAATGAATGTGGATCTTGTTATCGTTATGGGGATATAAACGCTGGTTTATCATGTGACAAGACGTACATGACCCGCTTCGTTTTGACAGATAGTCAAGTGTCTATGAGGTGTCTATCTATGGACGGTCATTTTGCTGCCATATACTCAAGGCTATCAACAAACAAACATTCAGACATAAAAAAGTAGCCTGGAAACCTCTATGATTAATTTCATAACCCTTGTTACCCTTTGAAGCACATACTGGACGTATCCAGTAATAACCTCTTAATATCGATCGAAATTATAAATTTGTTTGCTCTTGTTTACGCCTTTCATAAATCGTAAATCATAATATACAATATCATAACAACATGCAATTCATGATAGTTATCCAAAAGATTCTGTTCATACCATTTGAAAATAGATATCTCGAAATACCTTGATTCAAATTTCTATCTAATTTAAGAGTGCAATACATGTATTCTACATTACAAATTCTATACTAGTATTATGAAACTTGGTAAGCTTATGTATTATATCATTCAAAATAAGATTACACTTAGTTAAACTTCAATACATTAAAATGATGTACCTCATTTCCATGAAAGTTAATGAATAAGTTCAATATCATTTCTGAGATCTATTTTTCTTTTATTTTCTTTTTTCTATTGAAGGGTATAATCACTTTATAATATACATTTTATTATAAATATAAAAATGACTAAAATAAGTCAACATGATAAATAAAAAAAAAAATAAAATGAAAGAAAAAAAAGTGCAGATTGATTCAGTCAGTATACTTCAGCCATTTCGCCAAACTAAAGGAATGCATCTGAGCGGTAGCCTACTGATGTCCGTCAGTATTTGCCAAACAAAGATCAAAAACTCAAAACCGTTAATTGAACTTAAATCTAAGATCGAAGACATCACCAATATAGCATTCCAAATTTCGACAAAAGCAGAAGAAATTTTTTTTCTATAGTGATCACCAATACATTTCGAAGAAAAATCGCGAAAATTTCTCAACAATATACATAACATGCCAAATTCCATCAACATCAGGTTACAACTGCAGTCTCGTTCGTATTCATATGCCAAATTGGTTGTTTGGATAGATCAAAATCAATTAATTCAAAAATCGTTCATCAAAAATCATATTAAACGTTGTACTCAAAATTATAAGTTAACCAAGAAGTGTTAAAATTCGGGCCTATTTGTATAGCCTACATACAAGATACTTCACTTCCACATGAGCAAATTGAGATCGATATCCTGCAAGAATGTTGATATAGGTTTAAACGATTATAGAAACGAATTACGATGCTTTAAAAACACGAAAATCGAAGTCAGTAGCTTGTATCTTATTTTCGTTTACTGATGGAAATTAGATATTCCCTAATTTGAACGAAATTTTTTTTAAAGTTTTTGACATGTTCTATTGACGATTTGATTCAAATACTCCGTCAAATATCGTTTTTCGTTTAAGAACTTATTAAAAATAAAAGTTAAAAAATTGTAAGGTAACATCGACGTATTGATGCACTCCATGAAGGAGTGGCGATCTCACTGACGTAGTGGCGAACTCATTATCGGAGTGGCGAACTCACTGACGTGTGATGTAGCCCTGACTCAATTTGTTAACTATTTTTCATTGGACTTAAGTGCAGGAAATATATATTTAGTTTGTTTATCTTGAATTTACATATCATTTACAGGCAAACACTTGCTTTTTTTAAACCAGTTTCTAATATCTGAATATGATTTTCGGTAGTTTTCAATGTTCCACAAACGGCGGCACAAATCACACATTGGTTTTTCTTCAAAATGGTACGTGTAATAGAATGCTTTTCCGCGTTCGTTAATGTGTGGGTAAGGTTCATCCAAACTTTCATATTTATTTTTTTGCTTCAGGATATGTATGTATTCGTCCTTATTTTTACTCAAGCGAATAATATAATCAGCAACATCTTTGATGGTTTTAAAATCCCGAGTATTGATATAGGTGCCCTCGGGCGCCTCTTTAGAATAATTACCACCACCCCGAGCAACATTAATAATATCCCCTTGATATGGATGAAAGAATTTTTCTGAAATATAGTCAGGACAGAAACTATTCTCAAATGATAAAAAGAATTTATATCTTTTGTTAATGTTATCACGACAGTCGCCATCTTTTCCTCTTGGACAAGAATGCTCACCACAGGCACCGAAAACGTCGATTTCTACACCCAATGTCATCAGTTTTCGGATATATTTCATACGTTGAGATTGACCGTTGCAATTTGAGACCATTGCTGCAGCCATCTTGGTTTTCTTAAAATATATTTCGGTAAAATTTGTTTCCAACACCTGTCTTCTTTTTACAATAAGTCCGTATGGCTCGTGTATATCCGAATCTTCTCTATACCACATTGTCCAATTGAAACAACTTTTCCAAGTGTCTTTGAAGATTACGTGATTTTTTGAAAAGGAACACTGTGGTTCGTGGTTATGTAAAACAAAAACTTGATTATCGTAACGTTTAGGTGGCTCTTCACCAGATAATACAATTGCAGAAAATAATAATGCACTGCTCACTTTATGATAGTCTTTATTTGTTGTGAAAGAACATCGATACGGACAATTGTTCAGTTTTTTCAGATTTGGCATTGGATTAATATAGCGAGCTTTCACGTACCATAGGATAATTTTAGTATCGTTTTGTGAGAACTGTTGATCGACAAGTTTATTATCTGTGTAAAATTCGTCGCCTTGAATTTTTTCATTATTTTCTGTGTCTGATTTCTGTTTGTCTGACTCTGTGTTCTCATCAATCTGTACAGACAGCTTCTTTTCAAAATTATCATTTATCTTTTGTTCTTGTATAGGTCTGTTGGAATTTTGATTATCTATGTAAAAGTGCATTATGTTTTTAGGATGTACCTTCATAGTGTTTAACAATTGAACACTTTGTCGATAACAAAGAAGGATAACAATTACCACTAAGTACATAACCATCAGAAATAATCTTCGAAGTGTTAATTTTGTACCACACATTTCGTTTGTTTCCTGAAATATAAAAATATTATTTTTAGTATTTTTCAATATTACATTTAATTCGAAGTAACACTAGACTAGACTAAATCAATACTTCGATAGAATGATGTCTTCTTGGAATACGGGAGAGATAATTACACCTATTACGGAAATTATTCTGGTGCGTCATATTTTCCGAGGTCGATTAGCATTCTAAATGTTGGTATCTGTTTTTAGTACAAGCAAAACTGGAAACCATGCAGATTTGTTTTACATATTCACACATATTTACACTTATGGCCTGTCTTAGGCAAGTTAATACTTAATTTATAAGGTGAACCTCAAACAAAAATTTCAATAAACTTCTTTCGTTACAGTCCTTTTCAGTGAGGTCTCCTAAATGATATTCTAAAAGTCTGAAAAAACCTTAGTAGTGCACAAATCCAATATTGTAGCTATTTCAAGGAGTTGCATTTATTATCATAGGCAGATCTTGTGGCACGTTTAAGCAAAATAATCATATTTCTTTTACAATTTTCACATACAGAGGAATATCTTGATTAATTGTGAATCGTGGCATTCATTAATCCAAAATGACTTCGGAAATTAAGTATTCGTTATAATTGTCAATATGCAAATCTGTTGTGGTAGTAAGAAAAGAAAATGATCTATTATGTTTTGGAATACAATTACTAACTTTATTCAAAGCTATCATGCTTTAATTACACTAAAAAAATACTATTAACCACTATCAGTCGCAATACATGTATTTGTTGACTTGAGAAGAAATATGGCCGCCATTAACATATATTTTTATGTATTATACGAGATAAGATTATATATTTCACGATTGGAGAAATTTTACGAGCAGCAATAATGTGATCTATAGTAATGTATTTCAAGATAAATCCTGATTTTTACCTCATTGTTTGTATACATACATCAATGTCAAGGTAGGCTAGATTAAAAGTTGGTTGAATTTACTGAGAGTGGTGATAATCGATGTTGACAGTTCGACATCTGAATAGCGTCCATGTAATTGATAGGCGTGTCTTACCTGCCTTTACAAGGTATAGCCACCATATTTCTTCAACAATATTATGGCAACGTTAGTATGCCAATCCAATGGCGGATAGGCAGTCCTTATATTTTCTTTGATAATTAATTGTAGCCTCATTAGATCATGATAGCTTTAATGTTGCATATTCTGTACATAAAGGGCTCAAAACCCGCAATAATTTTAAACCGACAGATATTCCATATAATTACATGTTAACAGTGATAAATGCATATTTCCACAAAAGAATTTTTAATCCTTCCCCTTCCCCTCTGGAGCCACTACTGACGACAATACTTGGTGTGATGTTTAGATTGATAAGATCTCGGTCAAGTTCGAATTTGACATATTTTCGATGAACGGTTTTTGAGATATTGCCCTTAACTTTGTTAAAACGCTTCGAAATTTGTTAAAAATAGTTCGTGGGCAGGATTAAAGCTACAGTTTTCAACCGATTCTGATGAAACTTGGTGTGATCATTGAAATTGATAAGATCTCGGACAAGTTCAAATTTTACGCATTTTCGATGAACGTTTTTTGAGTTATTGCCCTTGACTTTGTAAAAACGCGTCAAAATTTGTTAAAAATAGTTTGTGAGCAGGATTGACACTACAGTTTTCAACCGATTCTGGTGAAACTTGGTGTGATCATTGGAATAGATAAGATCTCGGACAAGTTCTAACTTGATGCATTTTTGATGAACGGTTTTTGAGTTATTGCCCTTGAATTTGTAAAAA